AGCATCAATAATTGGCATTGGGTAATTAGGCTCTTTAGCTATTCCATAAATATTAATTAACTTTTCTAATTCTTCTTCACCATAATCAACTAAACTTTCTTTATCCTTTGGCCATTCCATTGGATTCATTATTTTCATGGCAGATAAAATTGATCTATGTGGAAATCTGTCATTAATTTCACAAATGACAGCTGCTGCAAATTCCATAATTTCTAGTTGTAAATTAATTTCGTTCTCAAATTTAAATAAAATATGGTGATCTCCAATAAAAGAATCTTCTGCTGGTGGTATTTTTAATAAAAAATCATTTATATATGCACTTAACTTTGGATTTCCATAATTATCAACATCTAAATATTCATGTTGTATTTTTTGAATTGTAGAATTAATTATAGAATCAATATCAGAAAACATAATATATCTTCATTGAAACATCTTACTAAGTTCTATTAAATGATCTAAAATATCATATAAAAAGTGTAAAAAAGCCAAAACTTTCCAATTACAGATTTTAGAATATAAATCAAATATTGATTGTTATCTTTGAAAAGAAGTTATTGTTGCTATTTCAAAAAATGTACCCAGTAATGGTTTGATAGATATATATATACTTTTAACTGCTTTATACTAAGATAACCATCTAATCTCAAAGATATTCTTTATTTTTAAAATTGGATGATCCAATACTGACTGGAATTGCCTTAAAGTATTAATTCTTTTTTCAGTATTATTAAAGAAATTATATGTTTTTTTAATTAAGGTTTTGATATATTTACAAAAAGCCACTTTCTTTTGAGCTGAATTACAAGCTAATGCTAATCTATATACAATGCAATGACTTACAAATAAATAAGGATTTTTATTTGTAAGTTTGGTTGCTACACCATTATTTTTACCAAGCATTACACTAGCTCCATCCGATGAAAAAGATATAATTTTTTTTTCTAATCCTAAATTAATAAAGTAATAAATTAAATTAATTTAATTAATAAAAATTAAAATTTTAAT